CACGAAGCAATGGAAACTGTTTCTTCCTTTCTTTCCTCCGTTCTCCCACCGCAACCATTTCCGGCCAAGCATCCTCACCGGAAAATCCGCATCAACCAACCTCGGAGCAGACCACGCAGTCGAGTCTCTGCCGGACAAATGAACGCATACAATCGAGACTATGGCGGCGAGCTCGTCGAGGAGAACATGATCGTTCTGCGAAGGGAATTCACGCGATGAAGATGTCTGAAAGAAAGTACGGCCCCCCTCCAACTGGACGGAGTGGGAGAAGAAGTACTACGAAAATTACAACTCGGATATCTGCGAGGCGATGGGGTTGCTGCAAACCCTGCTAATGAATACCAGACCAAGCTTGGCTTTGGGGATGATGGCTCTTGTTGCATTCAGTGTTTCCCTATCCACTGCCGCGACCTTGTCTCATCTGATTCAGATCGCTAAGTGGGTCCTATCTCTGGTTCATCTTAATTGACCGTCACACTCAAAAACAACACAGAGAAGCTGAGATTGATAATTAGAATGTTCACACAGTCATAAATTTGTTCTTCTGTAAATGTTTATAAAATTAATGAACTTTGCAGTTCGCATTGAGAAATAAAAATTCTCCTTTCCTCTTCAATTTATCATTGTGATTTGTGAAGAAGCTTAATTAACTCCCCAGTTTGGGCTTTTCTTCTTTAATTTATTCATTAAATATTCGTTCACTAAATTTGTCTTCTATTCTTTCAAGGTTTTACTTTTCGAACAAAGAGGAGAAAAAAACAAAACCCAGAAAAGGAGAGAAAAACTTAATGTATAAGCTAGCTGATGACTTTGTTTAAAAGACAAAATAGTCTCCATGTGAAGAGCTGCGTTTCATTTACGTAAGTTTGTGAGCTGAACTGGATTGGATTGTCTTTTATCACAGCATCTTCTCTGCAATTCAATTAATGGGTTTGAAAAACGTTCAATTTGAAGGCGACACATGCAGCATAATCCTTTTACACGTACACTATTGTTTGTTGGTGACCTCTGATGAGCCAGCCATTCTGGTGTATTAAACACCGTTATTATTATTGAATGCAGTGAATCTCATTTGCCGCTTTGATCACCATTTGGGTGGTACGGTGAAATGTTCTGTTTATCAAATTGGAACCATACGGATGTCAAATCATAAAGCTTACTGTTAATTAATTGTCTTAATTAATTATTGATTTAACTGCCGACTGCGGTGGAGTTTATTTGCACTGAATAGACGTTCGAGAGAACATACTTTAATTGTAATTTTGATTTTTTTTTTTTTTTGAGTTGGAATTGTAATAAATTTTTGAAGTTGGTGTTGGTTTTTGAAGTTGCACTGAATTGACATTCGAGAAAACATTCCTTTCTCTTTTTTTTTCTTTTTAATTGCTTTTTCCTTGATCTTAAAAGAGAGAGAGAGAAAACATACTTCAATTGTAAAATCGTCTAATGGCGGTTTGGATGGCAACCTAACAGATTGAGCACATATTCTCTAGCTCCTAACATAGTCGGACAGTCGGATCCTCACGAATTTTTCTTATTTTTATGTAAAAATCCTCAATTTTGAAGGGGTTTTTTATTGATAGTTCCTCTCAGAAATCTTAATGCCTTCGTACAGTTCAAAACAGTGTTAAGGTAGAAATCTATCACAATTCAAGGGGAGTGGTGTATCATAAGGGCTCTATGATAGACTCTAAAAAGGCCAATTTTAAACTCTAAATCTTAAATACTGAAATCTAAACCCCTAAATCTGTAAATTAATCCTAACTGTAAACCCTAAATTTTAACTAAAAATGCATTCGATCGATTGGACCTCATCAAACACCAATTGATGATGGCTCAATTGGTAGGTCATTTGACTTGTGGGAGTAGAGAACTGGGATTAAATCCCGCTGCCACCAGGGTTGTGTATGTTAGGGTATTTTGTCTCATAAATTCATTTTTTGAAACTTAAAAGCTGAAAAGAAAAAGAAAATTTGATTTTCCAGTTCAACGAATGGGAGAGGCTAAATAAAACAAATGGGAAACTCAAACCAAGGTCATGCTTGTTTGCCCAACCCTAGGTGAGCAGTGGCTATTAACAAGCGATTATTTGTAGGAATAGATTTTTCTCCCATCAAGAGCGGAATTCAATTAAACTTTTATTCAGGAAATTTCTTGGCATTCAAATACGTTGAGACATTTTTCTCATAACCATTATTACAGAGAATAAAGGCGCTGAAATTTTATAAACCAAACTTCTTTAAGGAATCATTACGGAATCTATCTAATTTACAAAAGCACATATGGGCGGTTTAGATTTCCATCATACCTGTTCTGGTCTCTTGCTTAACTCAGTGCAAACAGTGGGTGGTCTAGATTTCCATCATACCTGTTCTGGTCTGTTGCTTAATACAGTGCAAGGTGTAGGTTGATGTTGCAGAGTATTTTTGTTGTAGTTTCACTTAGAAAAAAGTAGGATCCTCAAGTGATAAAAAGAAGAAGAAGAAGCAGCAGTAACAGCAGTAGAAAATGCTAATAGAATCAAAAGATTTCTTGAAAATGGCATCTGCCCTTGGTTGAAATTTGAAGAGGAAAGAGAAGTCTGCAAATCTCTTGTTCATGGCGCTCAAAGAAGAATATGAAACAATAAATAAAAAAAAAAACATTTCTTGCAAGTAAGCCCTTGGCTTGAATTTCCCCATTTATTTTGTTTAGCCTCTCTCATTCGTTAAACTATATAGTCAAATTTCCTTTTTTCCACATTTTCTTGATTTTTTTTTTAATTTCAAACAAATGAATTTTGGAGAGATAGCGCACATGTAAATGAGGAGCCATTATGACATGGTTGAATCTAATTAGAAGTGAACCATGCCAAGTGAGTGCAGGAAATCCAAGTTCTTCAAGATGCAGCTTATGGTGTTCTGAATTGAGCCCAAACAGAAACCCCTAAAAAAGATAACAAAAAAAAGAACAACATGAACAATATAAATGCTAGAATCGTGATTATATTAGAGCAAGGCTCAAAGTATCAGAAATGTTAGTGATGTATCAAGATACACCTTTGATATGCATGTGTATGAGAGAGAAAAAAAAGTATGCACAAAAACATTATAAATACTTCAAAAAATCATAAAATACATGTAATAATACTAAATACAAGGTCTCCATAAGGTATACATACATTAAATCAATATATTTTAATAATCTTTATGAATAATACATCATAGTAAATTATAATTTTCATCAAAAACCCTATTATTAATTATTATTTATAAATTATAATTCTTAAGTTTTAAGGGATGGAAAAATCTCAAATACCCTATCCAACCATAAAACATGCATCGATACAACCTCTAAGTGGAAATATAATTAATAATTATTTTTTATTTAAATAGTTACTATCTATATTTTAATTTTAAAAATCACAAAAAAAATCAAAAATAAATAAACACTGTACAATATATTCTAAAAACTTTATTGAATAAGAAGTTTCAATTGCTTTGTGGATATGATAGATCATCCATAGATCTACAATATATTCAATCCTTATGGTTAGATCATAAAAATATAATTATATTTTTTTTTAAAAAATAAAAAATAATTAATGGAGAAGAAATTTTAATTGCTCTATGAATATAATAGATCATTCATAGATCTACAATATACATAGTCTTTATAAAAATTACAAAAAAAAAAATTAAAAAAATGTACTAGAAATTTCAATTGCTCTATGGATGATAGAGATGTAACATATTAAGTCTTTATAGGCCAATAAAAATATATTTTTCAATTTTTTATTTTTTAAATTTTTCCTAAATTTCTTTATAAAATTTTCATAGATCTACTCATAACAAAAAAAAAACTTTGATTTTCAATACAAGAAATGCAGATCAATATAGATTTAAATATTTTCAAACATTAAACTAAAAAAACAAGATATTATGAGAAATTTAAAAAAGCTTACCTATTTTTGTATTTTTTTTAAAACTTGAAAATATAAAAAATATTAATTATTAAACTTATTTCTTGTGCATTTTTGTAGATCTAGCACTCTAGTAACAAAGTTTAAAGTTGTAGAGTTGTTTGAGGGTGAAAAAAGGTTTATTTTGGGGGCAACAAGCTTCTTTCCTTTTTTTTATTTTTTGCCTTTATCTTTTTTGCAGCATCTCAATCAATACATCCAACAACACGATGTCCAAGACTCAAGCTTCTTAACTCATATTTTTTAAAATACATGCATAATAAAATAATAAATACAATAAATAATCATTAATTATAATAAAAAATAGATTAATGGTAACTGAGCAATACACATAAATAAGAAATCATGGTTTTAAGTTTTGTCATTGCTATTAATACATTTCCTTTTAATTAGTGACCTGGAAACCGGGACTGATTCACCAATTCGGCTGGTCAGCCAATTTTCTATCAAGTCTGGTTTCTGGGGTAGACCAAATCGACCAATATCCTGGGTCTCAATTCAATTGGTTCAATTGGCGGCTATTCCAGTCTGGTTTAACATTGATTGTAACACAAAACTACTGTTGGTTCCCGTTTGGGAGGGCTTTCACGCAGCGGCTGTCTTTATTAAAAAAAAGAAAATCCAGAATCATTCATTGCCATTAAATAAATATATAGATAGATGATAGATCATCATCCATGGAGTAATTAGTGATTGAATTCTCGCACGCAAAATTTCCACCCAATTACCAAACAATTCCACAGCTTTAGATTCTCGGCATAGGGGACAGCCATTGAAGGTGGCGTCGTGTTCGTGTCTATCGAGTTAACTCTAGCTGTTCGATCTTAAACAAAACTTTCCTCAAAGCCTCAAAGGGGATGTGACACCGAGTGTATTCCACAATTGGCACCACATTTCCTTATTAAATATTTCAATATATGCTTACGTCGATTTCCCAAATTCGAATCCTTCACCTTCAGGATAATTGAAGAAAACGCGCCTCAATTAAAAAACACGGTTTCACACTTTTCTTTCTAATTTATTATAAATAGCTTATGCTTATCACGTCCATCGCAGCGCCATACATCTCTCAGATTCCTTCTTAAGTCTTAAACAAATGGAAACGGCCTCTCTTCGTTCCACGGTGCTTCCCTCACAATCGTTTCCGGTCAAGCCCCAGCGCTGGCGGAGAACAGCCATCAACGAAGATCTGAAGAGGAAGTCAGTCAGAGTCTTTGCTGGAAAAAGAGACTACGGTGGCCGCCTGGTCGACGAGAACATGATTATTCTAAGAAAGCTTATACGCGAGATGAAGATGGCGGAGCGCAACTACGAACCGCCTTCAGACTGGATGGATTGGGAGAAGAGGTATTACACCAAGTACGACTCGGCCATCTGTGAAGCAGTGGGGTTTTTGCAAACTGAACTGATGAACACCAGGCCAAGCTTGGCTCTGGGGGTGCTGACTCTTCTTGCACTGAGTGTCCCTGTATCGACGGCCGTGACCTTGTCTCATTTGATCGAGATAACCAAGTGGATTCTATCTGGGGTTCACGTAAACTGATGTATATTTGACATGATTAAGCTAGTTGGGTTTAGTGTATTAATTATCGTGTAGAAGTAATTTAAATTCAGTAAAAGGAATGAAGCCCACTTGCTTTCTTTCTCTCCTTTTGCAGTTGCATCTGTTCATGTTCTTCACTCAACCAGGAAGGAATTCAGTTTCCACTACTGAGGACTGTATCAGACTTCTGTACTACTCACTAATTGCCAGAAAATCATCAAACCCAAGCTGTCTTCTCTTTGCATATATACTTTATAGTGATGATGAGTCTACCAGATTCCACGCTGCCCAATCAAGTCCTGGGTATCTCTCACGATTGCTCTAATGCTTTATGGACCCCAACTTCTCCAAGTGAATGTTGCGGAATGCGGTGCAATTTATAACTATTCTAAATTCAATCCATAACCTGTTGACCTATAGATCATATCATATTGTGATTTCTTGATCCCTTCCCTTAGTATAGTGAAGCTTTAACAATCTTTGAGTCTAAAGAGTCAAGAGTTTGTTGATTAATCGAATTAATTAATTCAGTCTAAACATTACGCTACACTCCAAAAAAGAAGAAATTAACTGAACAAGCAATAGATATAATAGAAATTTGAAATTTATCTATGAATAATGCCAAAAATTTAACAGCATGATCAGATAATGAATACCCATATCACCTATAGTATAGACTATTTATAGGTGTGAAAGAAAAATTGGAAAGAAAAGGTTGATATATATTAAAACGGGTTCATTTTTATAATTTCATTTCATCATCTAAGCCTTAAGCCTTCCTACATGTTTCACCATTTCATTGGAGGGAAAAGACTCGAAGAGTGTAACAGAAGAAGGGAGGCAGAAGTGGCCCATATTTTATCTCCTGCTTTTCTAAAAGATTCCATGTTCTATCCACATTTTGTCTTCTTACATTTTCCTTCTTTTCCCACTTCTGTTCACATCCAAAATCCAATAAGTGTGACTAGTGGTGTAGCTTTAGCTCAGACTAGAGTAGTTTGCCATGTCGCCCATCTCACGAGCTCTCCGCTCAACTAATTAGGCATATGATTAGCCTATGTATCTCCTCTCCTGTGGTGCCCACACGTAGAGTTACTTTCATTTATATAACCCATCAAAATCCCTTGCATCCCTTTCACGCATTGCTCAATGCATGACACGTGTCACTTAAACCTATCTTAAATTAGGTCGGCCACTTTTGAGTAAAAACACTGGAAGCATATATTTTTCCCCACCTCTTATCTCTTGAAGGAACTTCTATTAAAAGCTATTTCTTTTTTTATTTTTCTATCAAACCAAACACGGCTTAATTACATATCAAGTTAATTATCTACTCCTTGATTTTGCGCTGGAAAAGCTTCCCTTCTCTCTCTTTCTACAAAACCAACTTACTCAACAAGAGTATTTGCCACCAGCCGAAAGGGTTGCTGAAAACAAGCCGCCTGCAGATTGGATGATTGGAAGAAACCGTATTATATTTTGGAATTACCGCTCAGACATGTTTCAAGCAATTAATAGGGTTGCTGCAATTAAACCCATTTCATGTACATGATTGACTTTGGTGATGATGTCCTCATTGATTATACATCTAACATCCATATAAATGGATCCCATCATACGCGGTTTATTATAATTGATTTTGGGGGTGTTTTATAGTGTATATGAGAAATTGATGGATATGAAGTGGTCCATACCATACCCTATGGTAGGGATCAATTCATACTATACGACAGTCTGCAGCTGTTCTGAACTATGAATTAATTGTTCTGTAACATGGTGTGGTCCACACCACACCCTGTGGCATGGACCAATCCACACTACACAACAGTCCACAGCTGTTCTGAACTATGAATCAATTGTGTGGACTGGATCCGTCCACACCCACAATGGTGTTCTGTAGCGTGGTGTGGTGTGAATTAGTCCACACCACATTTTTTTGATTCCGTGTATCTCATATACATTTTATGAATGATATACACAATTAATCATAAATATCTAATTTTTGCATTTTATATGATAAATATTTTAAAAAATGCATCAATGAATTAATATTAACCAATAAATATTATTGTTTTTATAAAACAATAGTAAAATAATTAAAAAATTAAAAATATATTTTTATTTTTTAAAATATTATTTTATCGATAAAATATTAAATTTTTATAAAAATTAAAAAATTAAGTAAAATAATTAATATTTTAGATCATACAGCCGAAATGCAACTACAAGAATTTCAAAGATAAAACTAAAGGTGTATTTCTGTGTATCTACAGTCTGTCTTAAATCACCAGGCCAACCTCATCCAAACCCATAGAGGGACCGGATCTAGTAGGCACATTAAATGAGCACTTGATAAATATTTTGACAACTGTCAAAAGTGGGTATTAATCTTTTTCAAGGGTGGGGTGAGGGTATTTTAAGAGGCAGGTGTCAAAAAAATTTTCAAGTGCTCATTAAACGTGCTTACAATTTCGTACCTACCTCATCCAAACCCATAAAGGGACCGGATCTAGTAGGCACATCAAAGTAAGCACGTTAAATGAGCACTTGATAAATATTTTGACAACTGTCAAAAGTGGGTATTAATCTTTTTCAAGGGTGGGGTGAGGGCATTTTAAGAGACAAGTGTCAAAAAAAAATTTCAAGTGCTCATTAAACGTGCTTACAACTTCGTACCTACCTCATCCAAACCCGAGGGTAATATCATGATTGGACCCATGACTAAATTTCTCCAAATAACATAAGGTACAAATTCATCTCTAAGCACCCAACTGAGGATGAAGAAGAGCGTAAGAGGCTAGAAGGTTTCTTAATCACATCAACTGGGCTTTTCTATAAAAGCCGATGATCCATGCTAATTTTTCCATGTGGATGGATGATGTGACAAGTCCAGATCAGACCACCCATCACATTAACTCTACATCAATTGGATTGGCCATGTGACCCTTCAGCTTTCACCACCAAGTTGGATCAATATTGTACTAGAGCTTTATAATAGAATATTTAAGATTTTCAATTCAAACTATTGCCCTAATTTGAACCCATTACAAGACTTTTTTTTGGTCAAAAACTATTAAGGGAAGTGAGAGGGTATAAATGTTGGATTTTAATTTCATTAGAGATTAAATCCAATGGGATTTGATTGATCAATTACATGAAAAGCACACTTCCACACATATTATATATAGAAAATAGTTTTTTCTCTTACTAAAACTAGTTATCAACTTTGTCCCACATTAGAAAATTACTAAACTTGTTTTGAGTTTTAAAATAGGAGATTATTTACGCTCCTTTGAAATATAAGAGAGGAGTATGGAGGCTTGTCACCGCGCAATGCACGCACACGCATGTGTGCAGCCCAATGAGGCGCTTTACACTTTTCTCACACTTTGCTTGCTCGTACCCACATGGTTCACAAAGAGCTGTTTTGACTTTTGGCATCGGATGTGATCAAGAGGCACTATTCAAAAGTTAACAGCCATTAGTTGCTAACTACATTTTAACAATCACAATGTTTGAAATTGTGACTGTTCAAGGAGCCTTTTCTGAACCAACACCTCATTCTACTCCATAAGTCTTCAGAAATTATTGAAGGAACATGAATTAAACAAATGAACACAAGTTTTCAAAAATCACTCATGTTTCTCTTAGTTCGATCTACTACTGTCACACAGATGGTTTCTTCATATACTCTTCAACTTTATTGGCTGCAGATTCTCGCCCAAAGCTCTTTTGTATCTTGGGAACAAATTTGCCTGTAATCCAACAGCAAACTTAATAAAATTGAGTGGAGTCAAATAATGTTCTAAAGATAATGTCTTCAAACACGCCTCAAAGCTTCTCCTTCAAGTTTCCGTGACTCCATTTTCCCAGCATTATATATACACAAAACATGTTAGTATATTTTATTAGTGTATGTATGTACATGTCTTTGGACTAGTGTAATATTGATATCACCAGCACTATTTTAAAATCCATTTCCACTATAACCAATATGCTTGGTTTGTAATCTATATATACGTATCACTGGTTTTTTACACAAAAGCTCAAACTAATTGGATGAATTAATCAACCTCACTGAATCATATATTATTGATATTTAAAAGGTCATAAGGATTGAAAAAATTAATAAATTAGTAATCCATTTATTATTTGATAATTAGAGGCATCAATGATTTTAAGGGAAAATCTAGTATCAAAAGAGTTTTGACCAATCAAAAACTATCCATGAATTTTGATGAATAACACCTAATTGGCTACTACGTTTATGATTCTAGTTGATTGATTTTTTTTTTTTTTTGATAGAATAGTCAAACCCATGATTCAATTAGAAAAGATCTCAACCAGTTTCTCTCAAATTAACAAGGTTTTGCCATAATTAATATCATTACTAGGACTGATGAATATTTCTTAAATAAAAAATGTCTGTAAAAATCATTTATTTTAGCCACAAGATAGCGTTTAAAGTCGAAATCTGCCCCATTAGAGGAACATGTAAGGTCCTCTTGGATCAGATCAAATGCACCTAAAGTCAAATTTGATTCACTTATATTCATAATGAAATGGAATCTTATCCATCATATTAATTTATATTGGATTGAATCAAATTCTGAATACAATCAATTAAGGATCAAAATATTAATCGGATGTATATTGCATCCAAGTACGCATGGATACATTGATACAAGCATGTTTTAAAAGGTTTAAACCATCCCTATAATCCTTATAAAATAAAAAGTAAAATAAAAAAATGAAAAAAAAAACATAATGAATCAGTTATATGCACAGATTCCCAACTTTGGGTATCAAACCAAATGTATATAGTTTGATCCCTGATTACAATCAAATATTAAGTAGAAAAAAATAATCCAAAGCAATAATAACAGCCATCTGGGAACAAAAAATAAGAGGTTCCCCGCACTTTTGTATAGACAGTAAGCCGAAAAGTTGTAAGAAAACTCTCATTGAGTGGAACCATAACACTTTCGGAAAAATTCGAAGTCATTTGAAGAAAATCTCTGAAGAAATCTCCTTGAACCACATAAGAAGTAGAAAACCCCCGCTCCTTAAATCTCTCCAGGAACAATACCGCTATTGGTTACAAAAAGAGGAAAAACTTTGGAGGTCTATTGAATTCTAGCTCAGAGAAAGTAACAAGAATACAAAATTCTTTCACAATATGGCCAGACACAAGGGAACCAAAAGTAACAGCTTATGAATGGCTCGAATTACCCACAGGAGAATGGACCAATAATAAGGGGAAGATAGCGGAGCTCTTCATTCAAACAGTTCAGGAAGTAGGAGGAACGTCAGAAAGGCTAAATACAGAGATTTTGGCTCAAATACACCTCCCTCAAATCTCAGAGCTGCAGAAACAGCAACTACTACAACCACCCACCTTCTTCGATAACCCAAGCAATTCACCATATGGAGGCAACACACTACCGTCCAATAAGCCTGTGCAATGTTCTATACAAAATAGTCTCTAAGTGGATGATGATGAGGATGCAACCAATCCTTGGTGAAATCATCTCCCATAATCAATCAGGCATGGTTTTCAAAACTGAACCCGATCGAACGGTTGGACTGGAAAAATCGGAAATCGGTCAGGTGACCAGTTCCGTTTTTCCCCTCAAAATCGGATTTTTCCCAAAAACCGTTGATTTTAGTCAGTAAACCGTTGATTTAGGCGATTAACCATTCAAACGGTTTTGACCGTTTTTTATTTTTTAAAATTTTTTTATTTTTTTGTCAGAACGGGCCGTTCGAATGGTCAAACCATTCAACCCAGGAACCAGACCCCTGACCAGTTCATTCTCCGGGTCAGTTTTAAAAACCTTGCAATCAAATTTCTTAAAAGATAAAAAATAGTGGATAACATCTTGATAACAAGGGAAATTCTACACTCCATGGAAAGGCAGAAAAAAGGTAAAGGCCTATAATTGCTCTTAAAGGCTTTTGATCGCATGGGATAGTCATTCCTAAAGGAAACCTTAAAAAGAATGGATTTCCCTTCAAAATGGGTGAATCTCATTCACCAATGTATCTCTACTCCTACCTTTTCAGTCAAGGTGGGTGGACTTTGCCATGGGCACTTCAAATTAGAGAGAGGTCTTCGACAAGGAGACCCACTCTCTCCTTACCTATTTATAACAGATATGGAGGTACTCACACAATTACTAGCTTCACCAGAATAGGAGGTAGTGATTGAGGGAGCAAAGGTTTGTAGAAATGGCATCTCTGTAAAGCAGACATGAGCCAAGTGAGATCATTGCAAAGCATACTCACTCAATTTGAGAAGTTATCGGATCAAAGAATTAATTATGAGAAATCATCAATCATGTATAGCCGTAATGTGCCCAGACACCATCAGAGGATATACTCACACATTCTCAAAGTTAGAGGAACCCTAAATGGAAACAAAATATCTAAGAGCACCAATAGGGGTTAGAGATGATAGAATCTCCACACACCAACACATACAGGACAGATTTGAGGCAAAGTTATCTTCATGGAACTCTAAACTCCTATCACAAGGAGGTCGCACCACTTTAGTCAAGTTGGTGCTACAGGCTATACCTGACTATTCTATGCAAATAGCCATCATACCACAAGGCATACTCTCAAAAGTTGACAGAAGTATAAGAAACTTCTGGTGACAAGGTAACGAGAGTGAGGTGAAACACACTATAAAATGGAGCAAAACCTGTCAACAAAAGTCAATAGGTTTCAGACAAAGCAGAGTTATGAACAAGGCAATTTTTGGCAAACAAGCCTGGAGGTTGTTAGCAAATCCAAATGCACTTTGGAGTAGAATGATCAAACAAAAATATATTTTTTTAAATAGGAGCCCCTTTGAAGCTAAGCCCAATCATAGCTCATCCTACTGGTGGAGACAGGCACAAAAGATCCTACTAGAGCTTAAACCCAACCTACTATGGCAGATACATAATGGTGAAAATACTCTTGCCTTTGTAGAACCTTGGATTCCCACCATTCCAGGAGGAACACCTGCCCCTAGAGACCTCACTAATTTGCAGCCCAGATCACTTGAAGTGTCAAACTTTATCAATCAGGATGGGTCTTGGAACCAACCGCTTCTAGACCAATTCTTTGATCCCTCAGTTCACTCACACATCCTTCAGCTAAACACAAGTATAGAGAATGGTCAGGATGTAGTCATTTGGAAGCGCAACACATCGGGCAGTTACAGAGTAAATACTAACCCCTCGTCATCTCAATCACACTTCTGGTGGAAAATCTTATGGAAATTAAAAGTTCCATATAGATGTTCTGTCTTCCTATGGAAACTAGCTAGCATGGGATGGTATCCTCACCCGTGACAAATGCAGATATTGGCTGCAAGGTGAAGATCGCTTTAGTGTGCCTTCTGCAACTCTCACGTAGAAACATCTCAGCATCTATTTTTCACCTACCCATTTTCTAGAGCAGTCTGGTGCCAATTACAAGTTGGCCTTAATCCAAATATCATATAAGACAATGTACATTTTCATATGATCTTGTATAATTGGTGGTTGAATATCATATAAGACAAAAGGTTGTATAGCCCTTTACATTCTATGGAGAACTACAAATGGAATAACGTGCTCATGATATGATAATGTAACAAGTACTCCATGTTGGGTCTGATCCTAGGGTTGAAAGCAGCTTCCCAGATGAAGATAAACCACTATGTTAGTTCACAGTGATTCGATGCAGCTGGTGAACTTTATGAACAACAGAAGCCAACCAAAGTCTTGGATAGAGAAGCTCCATTTTGCCATCATCAGCAACAGGTGCATGTACAGGTTGTTTGCTAGTCAATAGTGGAAGCTGCTATTAAATGGGTCCCAACGAAGAGAGATACCTGCAGATGTGTAGAGCATGATTTGACCACTTCCGATTTATAAAACTCCAAATTGTTTACTAATCCCATAAGACCATGAGACCATAAATATAAATTATGAGAGTGTTTGGTATAACTTTGTTGTGTTATTTGTATTTTTTGGTTGATCAATAGAAATATGTATCATTTACATTAGAAAAACGGATGTATTTGAGAAATATTAAATTTAACGTTTTAAGTAGAAATAACAATTTATATCAATCCATTCAAAACATTTAACAATATCTCTCACAAATTTATATTGATCAATCCAGAACACAATGGTAACACAAACACCACCAAACATACATCTCTTATAACTCCTAAAATGGGCATTTTAAGAAGCACTTCATTACAAAAAATAAATGAATGAATGAAAAAACTTCCTAAAATAAATGGAGATCAGATCAGTGCCCCACAAGTGTCTCACAGCACATTGGAAACATCTCCCATGATAAATACAGTAGATGTTCCCAATGCATAGTAAGATGTGCATATAAAAACACAATAATGACTTCTGGAATTGCAAGGTAGACCACAAGCCACAGGGAAAACTATAAACTTATATTTGCTAAAAATCGGGGAAGCCAAAATACACTTAACATTGAGCTAAGAAATTCAACAGTCGCAACTGCGTTGAGTGTTTAATATTTCGGATGGGTCTCTTGCGGGTTGTGATGTTGATAAAGAATTTGCAAGATACCAAACAACAAGTTGATAAGATCTTCTATTGATCATAGCGGATACTTGGAATTGAATCCTACCTACACCTCCACCATCTAGATTGGAGACTTGAGGGATGGGCCACCTCCGTATAGCCGTTCACGAGATTTAAAAAAGAAAAAGGGCTAAGAAATCAAATTTTCCAATGAAATTTAATAGAGGGTTTTATTGTTCAGTTCACCCGTTGTCTTAGTACAATTTGTACAGTTGAAACAGTAACAGGCTTAGTATATGGTTCAGAAAAAAAAAAAGAATTACAGCACAGATTGTATGGTTTAATAGAAGTTTTATCTTAGTTACCAAAAATGAATTTGCACAGTTCTGCTTTTTCGACCCAAACATTTTTTTAGTACTTTTAGCTTCCGAACGTAATAAGAGCACATTTTTCACACCCTCCAAACGCAGCCTAAATGTTATAATACTTGGGCCTACTGTAAATTGCCACTTCACTTGCCATTTGTCAACGGAAGCTTCTCTTCCAACTTGGAGGCTTTGGTAACCGCCTAGATTTTTTTCCTCATTTGGGGAGTTCGGCCTGCACGTTGCTACTTGTCAACTTCCCATCGAGCTATGCCAGGTGTCACATTCGTAGAACTCCCGCATTGAACACATGCCACGTGTTAACTCAGAACACATTTTAAGTGTCGTTCCGTTTTCGTTTTTTCTTTTTTTATTTTTCGGTTAGGAATTTACATCAGCGCCCCACCCGACAATGTCCCATAGCACATCCCGACGGAACGGGATCCGCTCCTCACACAGGGGCGCCTCACAGGTACGTCCACCGACGTCTTGATAAGACATCATTGAAACATATTCCCAATATAAGGTCGGGATATGCTGTGAGGCGCTGGCGCGGAGGTGAAATCGTCGGTTTGATGACATTTCGTTTTCATTTTCAGTTTTTCTTATCCCTAAACCCTATAAATCACTTCTCTCCCTAACTTAACTCATCTAATTTTTGGTAACCCAATCCTTGAATCTGAATCGCAAGGCAATGGAAACAATTTCCCTTCCTTCCCCTGTACTTCATCCTCTGAAACCATTCCCAGCCAAGCCCCGTTACCGGAAAACCGGCACCGTTGAACATGAGAAGAAGAAGAAGAAGCCCATTAAGGTCCTCGCCGGAAAAAGAGATGCCTACAACCGGGAATATAACGGCCGGCTTGTCGATGAGAACATGATCGTTTTACGAAAACGCATTCTGGAGATTAAGATGGTAGAGCAGAAGCATGAACCTCCTTCCGATTGGATGGAGTGGGAGAAGCGATATTACGCCGATTACAACTCGGATATCTGTGAAGCAATGGGATTATTGCAAACCAAGCTGATGAATACCCGGCCAAGCTTGGCTCTGGGAACGATGGGTCTTCTTATACTGAGCGTCCCTATATCGACGGTCGTAACCTTGTCTCATCTGATTGAGATAACCAAGTTGATCCTATATTCGATTCATCTCAGTTGAAATTGTTTTTCTTTTAATCTGATTCATTGTATATAAATGGCAATTTGGATAGAAAGAAAGGAGTCCGTCTATGAATATATCTACATTTTCTGGTTGTTTATTCTTTGTTGCTTCTTTTCTTTTTTTGCTTCCTTCTTGTTTTTCAGTCCTCACACTGCTGGTTCCTTTTATTCAACTCCAAAGATCAGATCAGTACATCCTCACAGAGATGATATCAGAGACGATGATGGGTGCAATGGACCAGGTAGCACTGCGATTATTTTCAGTTGTATATATTGCTAAATTCTGTGTGCTACTGAGGCAAATAGAAGACAGAACTCAAAGAGAAAGGTTTTAGTAAACTTCTACAGTCGGCAATCAAGGTTCTGATTCGCCATGGAGGATCAATATCTTTCAACAGAAGAGTGATGATAGATTGGGCATATGACCTTCGGGTATGATATCACTGCGATCCCCGCCGGCCGGGCCAGAACTAAACCATCTCTAAAGGCTTCCAAGTTCCACTTCTGCCTCAATCGCACTACAACATGGGACAATTGGTGTTCGTGAGCAAGCGTCTAAGAATGAAGGTTTAAGAAATCCGTCCTTGAAAGCTCTTTCGAGTTTCGTCTGTACTCTGAATCAGCTCCACAGGTACGCTGGCAGGGTATCGTTCTATTTGCACAGTTTGATAAATTGAAGAGAGTTTTAAGATAATCCTTAGTGGCTCAAGCTTGTCGCGAGCGAAAACACTACCAGGGTCCCGTTCTGTCCCGGTGCTTCACACAATTGCACCTCTTATATATAAACAATGAGAGGCCATTGGAGGAAAGTGTTTCCACAGAAATCTCACTCGGTTTGTTCTTTGCAATCAGTCAAATCATTGTTTAACTGTAACCAAAAAAATCATTGTTTAAGGAAATTTGGGATTCATCGCTTTGTTTGTTCCTGAAAGAGGAAATGACGAACGAAAATGTGGTTCATTCTAGTACAAATCCGATGTGTCTAAAAAGATCAAAAGACTTGTAATAGGTGTAAAATGGACCGGGCCGCCCCGCCCGCCAGGAATGGCTGCAACATATCTGAATTTGGACCATTTTAAACCGTGTATTGGGAATATCTTCCAATGACCCAATGCACGCTCAGATGTACATATGGGGCTGACATGATCTATCTCATGTTACAAAAGATGTAACACTCCAAATCAGTCATAAGATACATGGGACTACAACCATTAACCTCCCGGTGTAGAATTATGTATTTTATCACTCACCTAACCCAAATTCCTATGTGACACCTATACCCTTTATTTATAAAGCAAATTCCAGGGCAGGGCTACGTGTCTCAATTAAACTTATTTTTGAGCTTAATTTGGAACTTGGGTACGTTGGATGACTCTAATACAATATAGTACAAGGTTGAAGATGGAGCTTTTTGGTGTACTTGGGGACGGAATGCATGGCCGTTGGCCAATCCAAATTATCAATCAGTTGGCAAATCTTTGGTCTTTACCCTATCATGCATTAGAGTAGTGTTTTACGTAATCAGATCAGCTTGAGATGCCTAGAAAAGGGCTTATATCGAAACAGAGAATAAGGGCTTTTGTTCTGATGCTTTGACTGGTGGGTGGATGGAGAATTGGAGATTAACGAGACAAAATACGATGGGATAAGTGTACCGCAATCCATGGGCAGGATTTAATCCACCCATAGAAATCTTAGCTCCACCCTAACCCTAGGGGTGGACTGAATTATAAAAATACCAAATGTGATACCTAAGCATGTCTTTTCCAGATGCCACTCCTGTTTCCATCACGGACGACCCAATAGCAATCCAAACCATCCATTGATTGGATAGAACAACCTGCTGCACCAGCAATATGTCTACATTCTTGCTCTACCCTTCTTACGTACGTTATCTTAAAGCCTTCTTCGTTTCGTTTTGTTGGTAAACGGAGGTGGATAAGTTGGTGAGTTGGTGAGTGTAAGACTTGATATTATCCTTTGTCTATTTGGATAAATAACTTTTTTCTTTTATAAGGTAGAAAAATCAAAACCGGACCGGACCGGATGGCCGGATTGGAAATATTGGGAATCGGTTAGGTGAGCGGTTCCATTTTTCCCCAAAATCGGGATTTCTCAAAAAATAGTTGATTTTGGTTAACAAACCATTGACCCGAGAGCTTAACTGTTTGAACGGTTTTGATTGTTTTTTTTTTTATTTTTTAATTTTTTTATTAGAATGGGCCAACCATTTGAGTCGAAGATCGTTTGACCCGGTAACCGAACCCCTGACCGGTTCAGTTTCTGGGTCGATTTTAAAAACCATGAGAAAAATTGTTATTACATGATAAGATAATATTATCCATTCAGTAATGACACTTTTATGGATAAAATAGTTATTATTTAACTTTATACAAAAAACAAAAGATGCTAATAAGTACATTCCTAGGAAATATTTGCCAAGATAGGTGCATTTATCCAAATAAATAATTTCATGAAAAATGAACTAGACCAATTATGCTATCCAAGCTGAACCAGCTCCTCTTTTGAACACTAAACATGGATTTAGCTGTTTCAATGCACTTTTGGCATGCCATTTCGGGCTTGATCTTTTATGAGTGTACCCATTTATATAAGGGCTAATTACTTTGTGTACCCTATAGAGGAACTACTTGTATATATTCTGAACTTTTAAAAATAACTTATATATACATGCCTTGTTCGCCAGCCCCACATAGCATAAATAGACCACTATTAGTGCACCATTTAGAGCCATTAATACCTTATTCAAATATTTTGCCTTAAATGCTATGACAAATAAGTGAAAAATTAGAACCCATAACCCAGAAACGGGAGGCTAAAGCCTATAGGTCGATATTCATTCCCTAAATATAAAGTTCAAAAATATATTAAGAAGAAAGGGAAATATTTTTTTTAGGCTCCGTTTGATTTGTGGGAAGATTTGGGTGTGATGGGAAAAGATGGGATGGGAAAGTGTAAAAAATTTACACTTCCATTGTTTGGTCTTATATATGAGAAAATAATAGAAAAAACACTATTACGAGTTGGTTCTTCGCCGGATTCATGTGAGATGAAGAACAGAGCTCCATGACTATAACGACAATCAGAGAGAGGGAAAATGAGGGAATGAGAGAGAGTTAGGAGTGTTGAGAAAGCAGATCGCCACTGTCGAGAGTTGCAGCGGTGATCAGAGAAAGGGAGGAAGACAGGAAGAATAGGAAGAAGAAGAAAAAGAAGAAGAAGAAGAAGGCGAGGGAGAAGAGAGAAGAGGAAGATGGAGGGAGAGACAGTATCTGGTGAAGATCGCCATTGCCCCTCACAGAAGAGAGAAGAGAAAGGGAGGAAGATAGGAAAAAGAAGAAGAAGAAGAAGACAAAGGTGAGGGAGAAGAGAGAAGATGAAGATGAAAGGAGATCGCTGCAACCCCGATTCCACCGGGGTCGCACGGTTTTGGTGCAACCCCAATTCCATGATTTTAAGATGTGGCATCCCACATTTTTCTCATCCCATCCCTTTATTTCCCTCAATACAAATGGGAGAAAAAAGAATATTTTTGAAATATTTCATTTTTCTCATCCCCATCCCATAAACCAAACGGAGCCTTACCAAAAAAAGAAAGGGAAAAAAATTGGTTCCCCATAGAATAATTCCCTATTGACATATCATTGTTGCTTTTCAACAAAATGAAAGAGATAAGTTTTGCTGGTTCTGAGATTCAAGCTTACTTTTATACCTGGTAGGTAAGCATATTTAAGAATTTTGAATGAAAACCGAAATAGACTTTATTTTCCAAAGAGGAGAGATGATAGACAGAGGAAAGAGGAATTCAAGTGCCCCTCATTGTTTTCCCATTTCATTTTTTGTCAAACACGAACAAAGAATAAAAACTTTGTAACCGATGATCAATGGAATTCCTTAATTCGAGATAGAGAGAGAACATAGGAAACATTGTTTCCCTAAATTGCTGATACAATCGATGATGACACTAAGGGTAGTTTCATTATTCAAATGTCACTATGTACGTGGAATATTTGTATTGTCGAAATGATTTTTTTTTTCAAAATAATTCACAATCTCCTAAAGTTGTAAGTGATACTACTTTGAAGTTTTCCTCTAAATGGTTGAATTTCTAGGCGATTAAACATTTGGATCCTCAAATGTGATAGATTGTTAATAGAGATTTTTAGTTGAGGTTGACATTCACATAAATTTTGATGGCTCGCTCGTTCAAGGATGAGAGTGGTACAAAGCTCGTTCAAGCTTTGTCTATTTGTAGATGATGAATCTCCTAAAACTATTTTTCTACCTTTGGTAATTAAATGTAATTATATTTTAATTTTTTTAAATAATTAATAATTATTTATATTTTATATATTATTTTTAATAATATTTTACAATACAAAAGTATCAAAAATTAGTTTTAGTTAAAGTTGTTCATCAAACTGATGAAACTGACCAATTAATTACCCATATCCATAACCTAAGACTTAGGATCCATAACCCATATTCAAGTCCCATGACCAATTAATTACCCATATCCATATCCTAAGACTTAGGATCCATAACCCATATTCNAGTCCCATGACCAATTAATTACCCATATCCATATCCTAAGACTTAGGATCCATAACCCATATTCAAGTCCCATGACCAATTAATTACCCATATCCTAGACCCATGACCCATACCTAGGGCCCAAGACCCCTGACCCAATACACATATCCATAACCTAGTACTTAAGATTCATGACCCATGACCTTGATCCGAATTTAAACCATGTCCAAATTAACCTATCTAGGCCCACCTCAACCCAATCCATCTACCCCTAATAATAAATATTAAGGTGTTTGATTTTTGTAGATATGTTGATTGCTTTTTATATGATATGACATATTATTCTTATGTTTTTATTTATTTATTTATTTTCTTTTGCACATCCACATGCATTGCATATCATCCTAAAATGCTAGGAACCTATTGTCCTATAGGCAAGGGCTAGTACACAAAGGCCATTGGGACTTGACACCTAGTGACCCTTGTGAAAAGCTTCCAACCACTCACCAACATGAGAAGCCCATCCAATGGGTGGAGGTTTAAA